GAGTAACGCACTTCGCAGCGAACGTTGCTTGTGGATCTGAAACAGTAGCCCGCGCGAGACATTAGATATCTGATGAGTCAGTAGCACTGATGGAGAAAAAGCGGCAAATCCCAACCACCCGGGATAAAGGCAGGGTGAGGTGGCGTCTACAAAGTCATTTCACGAGGAGCCTCAAAAAAGACCGTGAGAACTGGTGGGCAACGATAGCTAGTGAAATGGAGGTAGCAGCTGCATCAGGGACTAGTCAGACTGTTCCAACTGATACGCAAAACGGGAGGTCGGCGAACCACAGTAGGTGAAACAATCTGCGACAAAAGTGGATAAGCTATTCAAAATAGGGAACAACGACTTGACTGGTGGGCGGAGTACTTTAACGAACAATTTAGCTGACCAGGCGCTAACCAGGCTATCTCCTCCAATGTAGCTGAGGCTCCGTGGGCAGCGTCATCTGAACCTCCTACTGCATCAGAAGTTCGTTCTTGCATCCAAGCCCTGAAGAAGGGAAAAGCGGCAGGGCCGGGCGGGCTTCCTCCCACTCTTTTCAAGTTGGGAGGCGATGACCTCGTAGACTCCATTACTGATGTAATGCGTGATATCTGGTTACACGAGCGCATTCCATCATCCCGGGGCGAATCACTGATCGTTTCAAGTTTTAAGAAGGAATCTCGCAATGACTGCGAAAAGCACCGTGAAATAAGTTTGATCCTAATCGTCACCGAGTTACTAACGTCCATCAAAATTCGATGTCTGACACCGTTTGAGGAGACAAACATGCGCGAACAACAAGCAGAGTTTCGACCAGGACGCGGTTGTATCGACCAAATTTTCACTCTGCGTCAAGTCCTCGAGCTACGCCATACGCACCGTCGACCAACGGTTGTCGTGTTCCTCGACCTAAAAGGAGTCTTCGACTCAGTTGATCGTGAATCCCTTATGGGTTATGCCGCAGAAGTATGTGAACATACTGAGTTCACTCTACTCACATACCTCTGGTAGAGTAAGGGTCTACGGTGAGCTGAGTACGTTGTTCGTAACTAGCAGCGGTGTTCGACAAGGGTGCCCTATTTCGCCATTCCTGTTCAATTTCGTCATAAACTAAATGCTGGAGAACACACTAAGTGGTCTCCAAAATGTAGGCAGCTGGAGAAAAGCTGTGCAATTTAGAGTACGCTGATGACATCTTATGCTAGTTCGAATGTACGGAGGATGCACAAAGAGCACTTGACAGATTAGCAGGTTCTGTCGTTCCGTTCGGTGTGCTTTGCATCTTCAAAATGCTAAGTAATATTACAAGACTGGGTATCACTGAGTTCTGTTCTGAAACTAGACGGTCAGGAATTAGCTGAAGTTGACTGCTTCTCGTACTTAGGTAGCTGCGTGACCAAAGATGGTAGTGCATCAAAATAGATAAACGCCCGCACTTCCAAGGCTCCAGCAGCGTACGCAGGACTAAAACACCTGTGGCGGGGATGTGACGTATCACTAAAGTCGAAAAGTCGGGTATACTGCGCCACCGTACGATCAGTTCTACTTTACGGTTGTGAGACCTTGAATTTGCGCGTAGGAGACACCAGTCGTTTAGCAGTGTTCGACAATCGATGCTTACGTAGTCTGACCCAGGTTGTATGGAGTGAACGAGTTAGTAACAGAAGTAAGTCGTCGGGTGTTTGGGAATACATCAAACAAGAACTCGGTATCTCATAGAATTCAGCTCAGTAGGCTTCATTGGTTAAGACACGTTTTGCGAATGTCCGACGGTCGCCCACCGCAGCGCGCCTTGTTTGCAGTGGCTGTTATAGGTCGGAGAAAGCCACATGGAGGCCAGAAGATGACGTGGAGACAAGGCATAAAGAAATGCACAGAGCGATCAGGTAGAGTACGTGTCTCTCATCTTCCGGGTTGGGGTCCAAAAGAATACGAAACCGCATGGTCATGGTTGCTAACCGACAGCAATGGCGATCATGTTGTCACTTCTTATCAGACCACAATGCTTGAAATAGTATGTATGCTCAGTTGAACTGTTTACTCTGTGTTGACCGTAGAGGTTCGTTTTCTTTTCCCGTCCCTGAAAATAGGTCCAATCCCTGTCCTCCTTACACATTATCACTTTCCTTGTATGCATTGAGTTTGGTAGCGATCAGTGAAATTCGCTTCGCTGTATTACGCTGTACAATGATGATGATGATGATGATTCTCAACGACAACAACAACCATTCTTCGAACCATCAGAAAGCCTCGGCATGGTCTCAAATGGCCTCTACTGAGGAAGCCCTACTAACTGCATTCATGTGTCAAAGATGTTTTCCCTACCAAAGCGAGAAAGCGAAAAGCCAACATTAGGGTTGGTGAATCACTCGCAAAGTTGGCTAAAAACCGCATACATACATACATATATATATATATATATACTCCACCGGCTTGTAGACAAGCATGGTGCCAACGCAACAACAATAATTGCAATAGTAATGAAAGGAGACAGGTGGATTGGAGTACAGAACAGGGTGAAACAGTTAAACACGGGAAAATGGAAGCATCTGGTGTAACAAATTTTTTTGTCTCACTGTAAGCCAAGAGGCGTACGAACTACACACCTTCACGGTTTTGGCAGTTACCGGCTAAATGAGGTATCGAAGTTTGGTCCCATCCAAACGGTGTACGACCCGATGAACTGGATACCAGCCCCCAATGGATTGCGATTTTCGTACACTACCCCGCTGCCTTGCGGGTTAGGCTTTGGCTGGTCGAAGGCTCTTCCTAAGAAAATTTAACCTGGCAGTATTCCATCCACAAACAAATCATGGATCTTTTTTATAAAGATTATTGTACCGTGATTTGTTGGGCACAATCTGAATTCATACGTCTGTGAAATACAATGAATTACAATGCCACATGAAAAGTTGCGCGCGAACTCTATTCCGCCGGGCTAATACACTGCAGTACATCGGATCTAAGGGTAAAAGAAAGAAGTCAACTCTTTTAACTGTTCTTATCTAACGCATATCCCAGGGGCCTTATTAATGCGTGCATCAGGAGCAAAAACAAACAACATACAAAACAGGGAATTTGGATGCCCTACATACGCGGCATGTCAGAAGCCACCGAACGTATATTCCGACGTAG